TTTTGACATGAATACTGAATTACTGTAGCCAACAGAACAAGGTTAGAAAATGCCAACGTTTCAAGTTGATAAGAACAAGGTACATAATTAGAAAAAAATATTTTTAACCAATTTCCTTTTCAACCCATTTTCCTTGAGGAGGAAGGCCATTTGCTTCGTGTGACTGGAATCCTTGGGAACAGAGATGAGTCTGACACAGAGAAGAGTCAGCTATCAGAAAGCCGCCCGTTTCACTCATTCCTCCTTACTATAAAAGGGCAGAGAATATGGTTCCTAGAAAACACTTTATTTTATTGTTCACGTGTAATGGCAATATATATATAGGTAAATGTCAATAGCACATATACATACTTGTGATAGAACACAGTGCCATACAAAGGAATCACGTCTGACTGAATAGATTAGGAAGAATACCAAACCATGGAGAGCAGTAAAATAAAGTGCCGTCAGCTTCTCTTTCACACACTTCAGCTTTCTGGTGGTTAAACAGACAGAAGGAAATCTCAAAAAGATCAAACATTCATAGCAACTTTGGCCTAATTTCATTGTTTAAAAAAAAACAAACAAACCAAACGTAACCAATTCAGAGGATCTCTTCATAGCAGCAGTTCTGAAGTGTCATAAAAAAGGGATGTGTTTCTTTGCAAAGAGTAGGGTTTTTATACTCAGCTGAATCTTCCTTGCTTAAAAAATGCCTTCTTCCTGAAAACACCCATGAGGCGTCGTCTCAGAAAGTACAGATGTGATGTCAGAGTGGATGGTATCACACATTTACATAACTAGAGGGATATGTTGTGGAAGGCCAGGACTTTGGCAAAAATATATTTACCTTGATGCCCTTAGTTAGGAAGGCTAATTAAACGGATTATTATAGTCAAGAACAAAATACAGAACTCTCTAATAGTTACTATTTCAATATAGGCACACAGAATAACTCATTCATCTTACCACTTTTTTGTTTCAAGAGATGATTATGATTTTTGGGGGGGTACATGTAAACGTTTCAATCACTGATAATGGATTTTTTTTTCTTTTTTTTTTGGCATTTAATGCACTAGATGCTCTTATCCTTAAAAATAAAAAAAAGTCAGAGGATTAATAATACTACAGATGTCGCCAAGAACAAGAGTGACCTAGAATTACAAAAGTATAAAACACACACGCACAAAAGTAACATGCTACATGGGAAAATTAGTACATAAGTACATCTTAAAATTTTTACAATAAATAAAGATTGCACTGTAATTGGCATTTAAAGTACTGTATGCAGAATATAGTATAAATAAACCAAAAACAAAATAATGTTGGTTTCCCCATGACTTTGGTATGGGAATATCATAAGCGAGTACAGGATACTGCATCTTAGACAACGGAGACCAAGCACAAAGTCGCTATGATCGAGAAAAACCAAGGAGCAAAAATATACAGAAACAGAAGCAGGGGATACACTGTGTCTGCTGCACCCTTTTGGAATATATTTGCACCTCCAACTCTTAAATGTCCCTGAGGTACTCGAACATTGTGGACTTCATATAAATAATCCAATGACTTTGGGTTAGAATTGATTATCTCATGACTCAAACACGCGAGAGAAACAGTTTGCACTCCGATAGCACCTGTTGACCGAGGATGTCGAAGCACTTCCCAAACATTAGAATCCCCATTTATTTTCTTTTTAATGCATGGGAAAACTGAGGCACAGAGGTAAAGTGACGTGACAGATCCAGGGAGAGAGATGAGGCTTCTTGACCCCAAATACCACCCCCTCCACACGCTGGCCAGGTCAACCCCACAAAAAAAAAAAAAAAAGGAACTACAAATGCAGATGATTCTCTTTTGGGTTTCATCAGTTTTTATCGGCTGTCATTGGTTAGTTTGATGGGCACTCATTTAAGGTACTGAAATTCAATCACTTCATTGATACCTCAAAGAACAATCTAAAGGCAAATCTTTCACAAAGAATGAGTCGGGAACAAGAAGACAGCTCCCAACTAGTGTAAATCATGGACAACGGGCAGAGGCACTAGACTGTCACCAGTTCTCGTAATTCTTGCTGAACATAACAGGATATAATAACTCTAGTGATTGAATTAGAAGTAGTTATATACAAAGACACACGAACAAGTTAAAGCAGCTTTGAAAATAGCTGAGTAAGGAAACAACTAACTATTGCACAATGCCCTCTTAAAGTTACTGCTATAAATCGACATGGTAAAAATCTACAATGCTCCATCATTCAGAGGTGCACTTTTGCTTACTTGATTTTGTATACAGGCAGCTCATAGTGTTAAAATCATAACAAATACAGATTATTAAAACATTTTAGGCTGAAGTACATATTATCATTTAAATGAGCTAAACACAGGTGAGGAACTGAGTGACACAGGGCACCTGCTTCGGGGGCCTTCTCTTACCGTGAACACAATTCTGGATAGTGTTGTTTGTTGTGTGGCAGGCAGCGTGGCGACAACACCGAAATCCCAGCCCTTTAACTACACACACTGTGATTCATGTTTACAAGTATCGATGTTCAAGACCTAAGAACTGACTGGTGAATATAAATTATTAAACTGTAACAATGGGAAAAAAATAAAAAGGCTTGCAAAAGACATCAGTGAGCACAGAGGAAAGACAAAGCAAGTCTGAAAATGTGAAAGAAAACAGGAGAAAGCAAGCTTTTGGTATCTGGTTTTCTTGTCTTGTTTTGTTGTTTGAAATCCAGTTTAACCTCTTCCTAGTTTCAAAAAGGTGCACCAAAACACTGATATTTTTTTTTTCCTAGCTAAATCTGTAAAACAAGAAGGCTATAAATCAAAGAACAAAAAAGACTGACAGAAGTATCTGAATAAATGTGTGTATTAAAATGTGTAGCATTAATCAAATCCATATCTAGTTTTGCTGAGTGTGTTTACTTCATTAAGAAGTACTGTAGTATAAAGGCAAATAAAATCGACAGAGTCGCAAAGCCAGCCACAATGAGGGCTGCAAACTGTTCATCAGTAGGCATCATGCTCTTCATTTTGGGGTCGTCTAAGCTCCCCAGGTCCCCTGTGAGCATGACCTCATTTCGTTGTAGGACAAAAGCTGCAGAGGGGCTGAAAGCTCCGCTTAGCTCCTGGGGGGTGTCGAGACAGCGACGACACGCGCACACTCGGAACCTGTAGTCCGTGTTTGTCTGGAGGCCTGAGATTTGGAATGTGGCTTCTTCTCCCTTGTACACCTTCAGGAGAAGAAAAGGAGCTGGTCAGTTCATTTATAACAGTAAATTACCCTACAGGAATCACCACACCACATCACCATCACTACAGTAACACTGGGACACTGACTGGCTGGATAAAACCTTTCCGATCAACTCTGAATAAAATCTGATTCAAAACTCTGGGACTGACAGCAAGAAACTACTGGCCAGCAACGTATCTGGCCTCTGAAGGAATAAATGTGCTATTTGTCCTAAGTGCTTAGGGAATCAAATGAGAAGATGATTCAATACCACCACACAACTCGGTTCTAGGAACCTAGAATAATAAACATTTAAAAAAATACAGTGAGAGAGAGGAGAAGCTCCAACGAGCTGGACGGACAGAGTAAACGCAGCAGTGGACTCAGGTGTGTCCTGAGAATGAGGACCGAGTAGGATGGGCTGGGGTTCAGGTCTCCTGTTCACGGGGTCACTGTGAGACGTCTTTGACTTGAAGGCACCTAACAACGATGACAACAACAACAACCAACAACAACAACCAACAACATTTTAGATATAATCAATCATAGTTGGCTCTGAACATGGGCCTTTCAGATTCTGTGCTAAACCAAAGTTAACCAGCATCCCACTTGCTGGGGGTTTTGGCCCCGAAAGCTGGAGGACAATTTGTTTATTTAAATAATCACAGCAATGGCATCGAGGGCATATTTTGTATTACTCTATTTCTTATTACACTGTTTCTGAGTCTGAAAAGATCATGTTTTAAATTGTACTATTAAAAAATGAGGCCTAAAACAGCTAAAGACATTCTAAGAAAGAAAGAGAACTCTGAGTTGGGGAAAGAAGGGAAGAGACTCGCATTATAGATTTCAAGACATGGGGAAATGGAACTATTTGGGACAGTGAGGCAGGCATTGGCTCAGAGAAGGAAGAAATGATCCAGGGCCAGGATGTAGCCAAGCGGCAGCCCAGCCTCTAGGGCAGATGAAGGGGCACGAGTTCTGACGATCTGGGCAAGTCACCGACATGGAATCAGAAGCGATTCCTAGTTGACTGACCCTGCAGCCAATTTTCAGAAGCTGTAAATCAAGGGAGAAGATGGTGTCTCTTCCTGCCTTGGCACCACCTGTTGATTCAGACCATCAGAGAGGAGTGCTTCCAGCCACCAGATGTCCCGCTACTCTGGGGGCGAGGGAACCCTCCGGCAGCGAAGGGATGATAGTGGACTGGATTTGAGGTCTGCTGGTTCTTGCTTTGAATTCCAGCTTAACCACTTACCAGCTGCGAGAGCGTGAGAGAGTCTCATGCTTCATTAATAAAATGGTATGAAAACCGAAACTCTGAAAGAGTGCAGACAGGGTCCACACAGCCTGCTAGGGGCCCTGGGAGGAGAGCGTCGAGGAGCTTCACAGGAATTTCTAGGCTACAATATTTCCAGGGGCAGATTTCTACATCTTTTCCCCCATGAAGCCATCTGGTACATTTGCTCTACCAACCTTTCAGTTGGCGGCCAGGTGCTAACCACTGTACCACCAGGTTTCTTGACTGGAGGAATAAAAGTTCAGGGAATGCTGGGACACGGTGTGGCCCATTACAGGAAGCTGGTCTGTGTTCTTTCTCCGGCCATTAAAGATTACTTTACTAATTAATCACACTGTGTCTTTTACTTAAATCACTAAAGCCATTTAAGTTTTATTTCTATTTTTGTTGTGGAAAAAAATCCTACAAGAAATCTCTTCATGTTAACAGTTTAAAGTGTTTTTAAATAGGCCTCAAAGTTTTTAAAGTTAAATGGTTGATTACAGAGTAAGTTAATGTAGGAAGATTAAAGTAAATTGAGTCACTACAGTGTTCAGCCTACACTAATTAGTGATGAACTGGAAGATACATAAAATAACGACATGAGATTCAAAAGCTCCACGATCACACTAAGAAGCCCAAAGGCGGCTTGACAGCATGGACAGCAGCAACTGCTTAAAGCTGTTACACATCCATCGAAAAGCAACGCACTGCGCCTACAAATGAAAAGAACACGGAGCCTCACAGGACGAGGAGATGAAAGAGCAACACAGAAGAGGCTCCTACAACAGGGCTTAGTCGGCTGCAGGCGTTGAGAACAGGTAGAGCAAGCAACAAGCCTTAAGGAAAGTGTGTGCTTCTGTTCCTTGCTCAGACTTTGCCCAGGGTCCTTCCATGCAGGGACCATGTGAAGTCGGGGCCCGAAGCTGGGCACAGCGTGTCCGTGCAAGCACGGGACTGCCCAGGAGTGCTGAGGAGCCCCTGCTGCGAAGGTCACCAGGCCTGTTGCCAGCTGCCCCTCGACTCAGATGACCTCTTCTGGGAAGAATGGCTCTCCACACCAGGGCAGCAGGCCTGCCCAGCCCCTGTTCTCATTCCATTCCCTTCATTGTGGTTTCTCCTTCTTCCTCAATGCAATTTAAAAGGCATAGCAACTCCACTAGAGATTTTCTTTATTGAAGTAACCAATCATAATATCCCAGGAAGTATATAAGCAGTATTATTTTCACAAAGACTATTTCTGTTTCTTATTTGATGAACAATATATCTTAAAAGTAACTCTGACATGTTTATTCCAGAATGGTAGGATATAAAATAATACCCAGATGACTGAAATAAGAAGTCCGTGACCCTTTTATTAAAAAAATTTAAAAAATTCAGAATAACATTCTGTACAGTGTAATCTTTTGAATAACATCTTGCAGCTACATGAATGCTGGGCTTCTGAAGAGCTGATACCCGGGTCAACACCAACGCCTCCTGACTAAAGTTGCTCTCCCTCAGGAACCAGAGAACGAGACAATATGAACAGCACAGAATCGCTGTTTACAAAGCAGCTTCTCAGAGGGGTCTGAGGCCCACCGTCACCCTCTGAGAGAGATTATCCCCACCTACTCTCACAACAAGAGAGTCCGGGCTCTGGACGACGGTACATGAAGTCCTGCAATAGCACGGCAGTGGGTGGCAGGCACTCTGCTGGGTGGTAGATAAGAGCTTGATTGCTTCCAGAGAGGCAAGTGGTCTGCATTCACTCTTACATGGGAGAAATATGTGACGGTGTGCTTCTGAAAGGATTACAAGGTAGGAAAACCTATGGAGAAATTTTAATCATCCTACAGTGTCATTACGAACGGTCACTGACAATGATGGCATGGAAGGTGGAGCTGGCTCTCCCCAGGAGCCCTCCTGCTGGGCAGGCATCCTTACACCTGAGCAGCACAAGACAGGGAAGAGCATGGGTACAAACGACTTTCTGCACAGTACCAAGGAGGCTCCTCGGAGTGTAACACTTTCTCAATACACTAGGGTGCCACCAGGAAACATTCTGCTTTTGTTTTTAAATAAATTAAAATATTAAAAAATACTAAAATATACACAAAAGCAAAAAAATAGTAGCTTCTCTGAAGTAGAAGCTTTATTTAAGTAAATACAGCACAGCACCACTGTGAATAAACATTTCTATAAAAATTAGGGAACTACAGGTGGGAAGGAGCCTAGAAGTACGGTGGTTAGACACTCAGTAGCTCATCCAACTGCTGGCAGTTTGAACTTATCACCTGCTCTGTGACCGAGAGAAGTGTGGTCGGCTTTCAGGAAGAGTTACAGCCTTGGAAACACTACGGGGTTGTTCTATTTGTTCTACAGGGTCCCTAGGAGTTGGATTTGACTCAAGGAAGTGGGTTTGATTTGGCATTGATGATCAATTTTCTGGGGCTACTATCTTCATCATATACTTAGAGGGCCCTGTGAACCTAGAAAATGAAGAATCAGTAAACTAAGCGATGGCTTTTCAACATCTCTCTCCTGCTCTATTACCCTTTGAGTCTGACCTTCCATTAAAAAATGTTAAACTGTGCAACGGGCCAGTGACAGCTTCACGCCACATCAGGAAAAGAGTGAACAGTCATTAAAACATTATAAAGGCTCAAAAAAAAAATTATAAAGGCTCAAAAAAATTATAAAGGCTCTACAACTTCGAGCCCTTACAACAGTTCTGTCAACAAAAAATCCTTTCTCCTAGCATTTTCTGTGACCTCATGAAGAAACAAGACACAGATTCCAAATCACATGTCTTTAAAAAAAATGATATATTATGCATACATTCTAAAAAGGAGACCACATACAGGAATGTTAATAAAAATCTGGTTCACTAAGGTTCAGCCCAACCCTATTCACAATAGTCTAGAGGTGGAAACAAACTAAATGCTTACCAGTGGATGAATGGGTAACAGACGTGGGAGATACATAAAAGATTCTTATTAAGCTTAAAGACAAATAAAGTCCTGATAAATGATACAAAACTGGCTGAACCTCAAAGATATCATGCTCCATGAAATAAGGAAAGATACCTTATCAGTGGGTGCCAGGGGAAGGGGGAATTTTTGCTTATGGACAATGAGTTTATGTTAAGGCTGTAGAATAATTAGGAAAAAGATAAGAATTGCACAAAATGAATATCCTCAATTCCAGTAAATTGTGCTTACTGAACTTGCTGAAATGGTGTTTTCCTGTATGTATGTGCATCACAATAAAATGACAGAATACAGTCATCTCTTTACAGAGCGAGGACAATGGGTCACATCTATTACTCTAGAGATGCCTCAAATGTTTTCTTTTGAAAGCAATAAAGCTGGTCACTAAAACAACATTTAGTTAATTGTGACAAATGTTAAACATTTTCAACGGCTAACAAGTAACAATTTTTTAAAATTTGTTGCTCCCTTTTAAATCTTCAATTTCCTTTATAGTAAAAATTAAATGCTCTCTGAACAGGGCTATGAATCATTTCACTTTATCTTCTTTTTATGCATATATTAAACTGTCTTCACGTTAAAGCTTGTGTACAAATATCAATCTTAAACATATAGACCCAATGTCCCCCCGTTTTCATCAAAGTCTCCTAATCCACCCGTCTCAGGAACAGAGCTTGTTACTGTTCGCCTAAGTGCTGTAATTGAGGTCTATCCGGAGCCACGAGCTCTGCTGCAGTAGGTGCATAAAACACGACTATTCCTCATTTTCTTTCACTTTGCCTCTAAGAATTCACTGCCCTCTGCCTGTTATTCCTGGACTATAATTATTTTAACCATTACTCTGCACACATAATATAAATAGGCTTCATTTGCTATGTTGTGGCCAGAATAAGTGAATGAAGAACTCAAAACATCATTCTGAAGTTAATGCTCAGTGAACAGAGAGAAACAAAAACCCCAGGACAAACTGTCCCTGACTCCACTGCAGCTTTTCATGTGCCACTACTCGCTTTAATCATTTCTTGGTAAATGCAGGAAATAAATGGTCATGTGAAGAACACTAGTCCTCATCTATAGAGCTGAGTACCGTTCTATTTTCCTACCAGGAAACAGTTGCTTACAAGTGTTTACAACAATAACATGAAGGCAGATAGATGATTAAAAAAATTATATTAGTGTTTGTTTCTATGTCCACAGATCTAAATACATAACATTAAACAGCAAATTAAAACAAATTCTACCCACCAACAAAAATCCAAATTGTCGAATAGATTAATTCACCTATAGTCTGACAATGCTTGACATGTAAAGATAGTGAGCAAATAATATGGATGTTTTCATATCCACTGTGCTTTCAGAAGAGCAACGTTTTTCCAAGAGAGGGAGAAAAATGTCAGGTACAAGAAAGAAAAAGTGTTTAAAAAATACAATGATGAATGTGCAATGAATGTACTATCAGAAAATGAATTATTGTAAGTCTCATATGCTGTGATATTTCCTAACACCGCATCTTTTAATCATTTTTACATTGCTGAGGAACAGGACGAATGCTACCAGTGCAAAGGTGACGAAATCTAGCGGGGGAAAGTAAAACTCTAGTAATCCAGCACATCTTTCTGGGCGTATGAAACAGTCACGCACGTCAAGTTATTTACTCTACAGCAGAAGCTACAGAGGAGATTGTACAAGGAAAAGAAATGCAAAATGCACTAATATTCACTTGCTTTTTAAGTGTTCTTACTCACAGGTATTTTTACCATCATTTAATCGTTAGTGTATTTAATAAAAACAAACCGAGTTACTGTCTATTTGTCTAGATACTCAGAGCTTCAACAGCAGAATGAAGCTTGACCATACGCATTACCTCCTTAGGGAGCAGGTAGCGTTTCTCGTCACCCTCCGAGCTCGACATCATGTGTGCCTCCACTAAGGGTGTTAGGAGTGCTGACGTTTCAGTTCTTCAAGCATTTTCTTGCTAACAACAAAGCTGGTGGTTCAAATTCACCAGGGAATGGAGGCAGCGGGTATCTGCCACAAGGATTAAAGCCTTGGAAAAGCAACAGCTCCTCCGTCCTACAGGGCAGCTGACAACACGCGGGGCTACAAGTTTGCTTTTTGACTTCAGTTTCTGATCAGGAATGGGGCTTGGAGATGCCGCTCGAGTAACAGTTTTTTTTTTCTTCTAAATTTTTTTTTTATTTTATTATTTTTGTGTGAGTGTACCGTCAAATCAGATCTGACTGGTACAGGAGGAGATTGTCCCTCCTTCCCCGGCAGAGCATCTGGTGGATTTGAACTGTGTGCCTCTGGGATTGTAGTTGCAGCTCCTTACCACTAGGCCACCAGAGCTCCCCTCGAGTAACAGTTCTATACACTGATTTTACCATAAACAATTGTTCAGATTCAGAAAACAGCACCCAGATCCTTCACAGCAAGTCCCAGGATAATGGTCTACAAAGGATTAAAGCATGATGGGTATACAAAATAATTGTGTTATAAGACTAGACTCTAGTTCCTTGCATGAATTTTTCATGTGACCTATATAGTATTGCTGCTCAAATTCTGGTCCGTGGACTTGAAGCACATGCATGTGTTAGGAGCCTATTAGAAATATGGGATCTACCGAGTCAGAATTTGCAGTGGACCAGGACACTAGGTGACTCAGAAGCACAGTAAAAGGCGACAAGCAGTTCCTTCGAGCTTCTGAAGCATGGTCTTCAAGAGCTTATGGGATCAGTGGTATTGAACCAATTGATGGGTGACCCTCTAAGGGGTTTCCAAGGCTGGAGACCCCTATCTCTCTCCCATGGAGTTGCTGTTGGACTTGAACTGTTGGAGAGGCATGGCGTTTAGGTTAGCAGAACAACTTCCTAAAGATGATGTTACAGACTCAGCCTTGACCCTACCCTTCTATCAGCGCCTCTGTGAGGAAGGCAGCACGACAGAATCTCAACTCTAACTGTTGAGGCTTTTCCCTGTTACAAACCACCAGTATTTTAGTTTTCAATTACATACAGAATGTGATGCTCTTACCTGTTTGTATTCAGATTCTCTTCCAACCAACACCTGCAGAACATAGCTGATAGGATCGCCTTTCATTGGTGGAACTGTCTCCCAGAGAATTTCACATGAATTCCCTTCTAACTGTGTCACTCGTGGGGCTGAAACACAAATACACACATGCAAGCTCAAATTTCAAAGTTATCATATTAACAATAAATTTAAATAATACTAACTGCATCAAGGACTCTCCTTCATAGGGTCGCTATGAGTCGCCTGCAACTCGACGGCACTTAACAACAACAACAACAATACTAACTGAGGCCAAGGGCACGCTGGTCTTTGGAGTTTACTTGCTGGGGCTCCCAGAGAACCCTAGGTGCCTCATTCAGACAGAGAGACGATATTCCATGACTACGAGGCCACAGATGGAAACTCCAGTGCTCCAGCTTATTAATAAAAAACTGCACCACCTTCTGTTACTATTTCTTTGGCAACTGAGTACTTTTATTTTATTCTCCAGTTGCATTGGAGAAAGAAGACCACAACAAGATAGCTCTTGTTTCATGGGATTTAAAATTCGGAGGAGGACAAGATATGAGGAAAGTCCAGAGAAGATATCCGAAGCAAGGAAGATTAAAATGAGAAGTGGAACCAAAACGTTAGGGGGCTCGGGAGAGGGAAAGACCACATCTCCTGAGTCTGAGAAATGTCTGAGGAACAGGTGATGTCAGAGAGAAGCGCCACAGAATGGGCTGCATTGAAAAACATTTTAACATAGAAGTATCTTACAGTTGCATTTCTCAGTTTATTAGAACTTCTAGTTATTCTGTAAGTAAATCTAAGTAAATTCTACAGAGATAGTTGTTTTCATCATTGTAATTCTCTGTAGCATTATTATTTTAGAAAATATATTTTTCTTCTTTTTTAAAGAAAATATGTTGGTTAGAATTACTAGGCCGAAACACCAAACAATTTCTAGAAAAACCGATCTCTTCAGAATAAACAGGACTCAAGGAGCCAAGACAATAATTTCCTGAAGAAAAGACTAAGGGGAAGATGCCCAGAGTATGAGGTAGTGTGAGGACACTCTGCTTTTGAAACAAAAGAACCAATGGAATTGCTATCAATCCACTCTCAAGTTACCATAAAACGAATCCACACCAAAACTCACGTGGAGACAAAAGCAGTGCTGGTCAACACCAGAAACACCCTGGAAATCGATTAACTGGCAAATACAGCCCACTTTTCTTTCCCCAACACATCAAGCAGCCTTGCCGTATTCTGACAGAGCAGAAACCCAGAGATGTAGCCAAGAGTCTGGTATTTTCTGCCAAAGTGGCCCCGTTGGCCGTGTGTGTGCACATGGATCTGCACTGGCTTCTCAGTCACGGAGGAAGGGACAGCCTAACGACGCTGGCCACATTCCAGTTCCGTTTCTCTTGCTCAACTTATCCTTTATCTGTATCACCTTGTTGTTCTAATTACAAACCGTGAGCTTCCAACATCAGCATCATCTGGCAGCCTGTTGAAAAAGCAACTGGATCTGATCTGAGGGGCAGGGAAGGAAGAAGGAATTTACCATAGAACAGCTCTAGCTGAAGTGTCAGGAAACCGTCACAGGAACCGGGCTGGACCTGACTCAGGTCCCGACTTGGGTCCCAAGGCTCCTCACCCTCTGAACCAGCTCTGCTGTCTCAGGGACAGTGGGTTCAGGTCCTCCAGGGGGGAGCAGGCAGTCAGCGGGCCTTGTTCCTGGGGCCCAGCACATTTAGAACCTTCTCGTAACTTCCAGAGATCACAGAGCAGAGATGTAGCTTGGGGACCACGAGGGGCGGGCTCAGGCCTAAAGGTGGGTGGGCACCGGAGGAAAGCCGTGCTTCTCCACAGACAGGAAAAGCAGCTTCCGTTCATTCCCTCAGACGTTCCGGAAAAGCAGTGCACTGCTGTGCCTTCTACTCCTCTCCAGTCCACGAAGGAGGCCGAGCAGTACGCTGCCACTCGGACACCTCCCAGCAGTTACATCTCCACAGGGGGGAAGGCTACTGAAATTGCCTGCCTTAATCGCCCGTGTTTCTAGGCATCAAACTCCTCAAATGGTGAACGACAGCCTCTGCTCATCTGAGTCGTCTTTCAGAAAGAAGATTCTCAGATCTTAGTTGACTAATGTGTGTGCCTAATCCCAGGAATTTATCCCTATTTCACTAGCAACGCTGACATTCAAGTCTATCACCTTGACCGTCTATCTGCCAATGATATCATCTGTAACAAGCACTGATATGCACTTGAACTAAGACCCAGAGGTCTTCTCCTTTAAGGCCCCTTATTTCCCCAGAAGACTCATTTTTAGCCCTCTTTTGAAAACGTTCTTCTCTCTTTTGCAGACATTATAAACACGAAAGGAGGCAATTTAGGGCTAGATCTGAGCCTCGTACGCTTGCAGAAACTCCACCCCCCCCCATAGGAAAGCTCGCTGACCACACACCTTTGATGGCAGGGGGCACACTCTTGGATGTGCTGAAGGTGTAGGTTTCTGAGAAGGGCCCTTCGCCGGCCTCGCTGGCTGCCTGGATTCTGAAGGAGTAGCACGTGAACTCAGTCAGCCTCTGGACCTTGTAGGTGTGGCTGGGTCCTCTGTAGATGGAAATGAACCTAGAGGAAGAACGGACCCCATTAGCCATTTGCACTTTCCACGATGACAAGGAATTCTTTCTGATGAAAACCTGTGGTGTCGATTAGGCCACTTGGTCAACACTTGTCCCGGGGGAGGGACGGGACTGGGCAGCTGCTGGGTTAGGGTTAAGGTCCGGTGCATGTTCACACAGATGGAAAATACAAACGGAAACACACAGCAACGCAGAGTGTGAGTCCTTTCATTGTGGCCTCGGTGCGAGGACCATCAGTTGTTCATGTTTTAATGTAATAAAAAAAACAACTCTGAGCAACCTGACAGTGTTAACCTACCTGCTGCTGTGTGTCAGGCGGTGAAGTTAGTCAATTATGCACCTCAGAAACGAAGCGTTTACCCAAACTCTGTGTATCATTTAACAGGAAGTTCTTTTCAGAAAATTTTAACCCTTATCCATCTTCCCAAGGGATTAAAGAGGCCAAGATTTCAGAGCTCTTAAGATATATCTGTTATTATAGATCTTAAAATATGTGAAAGGAAATAAAATATAGTCCTGTGTTCAGAATCAACAATTTGGTTAATCGGAACAGAAAATGGCAGTGGGGACGGGAAGCCCCTAGTCTTCCAGGTGATACCAGCTGCATTTGCACACGTCTCTGCCTAGTATTTCTGTAGGATGTAGGCTAGGAAGCATCAGGTTAGAAAAAGAAAATAAGCCCTTCTGTTTCCTCGGGTCTTGAGAAAGTCAACATTTTCATAGTGAAACTCAATTATTCGTTGTCTTCTGTTAACTGTAACACCTCATAAGTAACTTCCTGTAAGTTTTCCAGGATCTGCAGTAGATTTAGAATTTCAGTCTTGCTGGTGCAGCGACCCCTCGAGAATCCCTAGATTACTTCATCTAACTGTGCTGCCTTGTTCCCACACAGGCCAGTTCTCCCCGTTTTCAGGGCTTGGTTACAACAGCTGAGGACAATCGATTCTCTTCAGTTAATTGGAATTTGGCCACTGAAGGAATCACAACCGAAAAAATGTCTGATTCTTAGGCCAGTTTGGCCTAAAGGGAAAGCAGAATTTATGCATTCATTTAGCAAACGTTCACTGAACATCTGCTATGTGCTTGGCACTGTAGATTCAAAGATTATCAAGCCTGGGAGATAGCTGGTCCTTCTCGTGCCCAGGGCATTCTGAAGCAGAATGGCAACGTTGCCAAGTACTACAGAACAGTCCCTCTGGAAATGCATGGCGCTCTTGTGTCCACTGCCTAACCAAAGGCTGGTAATTCAAACCCAGAAGTTACTCCACCTGAGAATGATATGCAATCTCTTCTGGTGTGATTCACAACCTCTGAAAACCTTCAGGAGTGACAGTTCTAACTCCATTCTGCTTCAGTAATACATAACAGTTAACACCACCCCAGTTCTCTTCCCTGCTCAGGTCAGCTGGTGACCCCCTTTCTGATTCTGCCTCTGAACCACTGTTGTCTGTCTGCTCTGGAACCTAATCACGTTAATGCTCTCCCCAGTGGCTTCCTGGGAGAGGAGGGAAAAGCAAACGGAAAGAAATACCCTTCTGTAAATCTCGTGTCAGTATTTCTCACCCATCCTGCCACACAATCAAAATACTTATCTAAAATATCCATTTGTACACCAGCATTCACTACGGAGTTCCTCAGCCTAATCATGCCACCCACTTAATGTTCCTTCTGCTTTTCTGTGGAAGGAAATGTTTTGGTTTTTTTTTTTTTTCTGAAGGCTGAACATTATTAATTTCATGGAAAACCAGAGTCCAGGTTGAAACCCACAAATGCCATGGCAACCGACTGAGTGCGCTTGACACATAACACCTTAATGAAGATGCCCTCACTAATGTCAGAGGCAAACAGCTATTTATTAACCCAGCTTCACCTGGTCCGGAATCTCTAACAGGAGTAAGTGCCCTTAATTATATCACCAAATGGAAGTTCTGGTTTAAGAAGTAAATGTGTTACATCTTGATTAGAAAGTTACAATGAAGCTCAGTCTTTCAAGGGGCTTGGACTAGACCTACTTTCTGGCCCTGCGACCCTTTCAGCAGACTATTTCCTTTGAAAATAAGCTGAATACACAGTGTGCCTTGATTTAATTACATGCGTGGCAGCAATACTCAAAAAGAAATGTACTGAAGCAGACTCTGCATCCTAATGTGGGGTGCAATCTAAGCCAGTAAACAGCCCAAATTATCAAACAGGTCAAAATAGATCCCTCTGGCCCAGTTACTCTGTGCTTACTTTAACTTCCTGTTTTGCTCTTTTATCGCAGGGTTTCACTAGTCTCTTAAAGTGGAATTTCTCTTTTTATTTTAAAAAACACAATCAAGCTGGAAGTCAGAAGAAAATGAGGTCACAGAGTGGTGGGTGGAGAAGGGGTGTTGAGACGGAATCAGGAAGCTCCAGTGGGGCCCTGAAAAGGTAGGGTAGTAGTGGGCAGGGGTCAGTGGTCATCAATTTTCTAATACACAATGTACTGGAATGATGGGAAGACACACAAAGTGAGTGAAGGAATCTGTGAAACATAATGTATACGAATGAAACATAATGTATACGAATTTTGTATGCTTATCAATACAAAATATTGTACTGGAAGCAGGAGCGGCATCCACTTCTGAAATGGCTTGCCTCCGGAAACTCTATGTACGAACAGTGCTCAGGCTGTTTGTTCATAGGGTCGCTATGAGTCGTCTAGGACTCGACGGCATCAAACAACAACAATCAATACAAAATAAAAAGAAGGAAGGACTTTGCCACTGGACCATTTGTACCCACTCCTGCACGGTGTTACTGAGATCTATATGAAAGGATGCATTTGCTTTTAAGAAGAGTGGCTCTCAGGGTTCGGAAAGAGGCCTTCACGGAAGATTGCAGGCAGAGGCTGCAGGCAGCCAGGAAGCTGCGGCTGGCAGGAAGTTAAGAAGGCAATGCAGGGGGCTCCATGGGGAAGGGAGTGGGTAAGGAGAGAGGGAGCAGCTTCTTCCTCCAGCCTCTCCAGAGCCAGCGTGGGGACAGTCCTTCAGTCCAAGCCGATCACAAACCATCAGTTACCTTCTGCTCTGATGGAAGTCCTCACTCTTCTGTAGGACTGGCCTCTCCCTCCGGAAAAGGCACAGCAAGAACTGTGGGTGTGTGTGTGCAGTGTCCAAGAGAACGACTGACGGATGGTAACTAATTCCCGTGTCAAGGGCTTCTGAATCCCCAGCCCTCAGTAATGGGAGGGAGAACGCACAGGGTCACACGCTCTGGGTTTTCTGGTGGAGCAGCCTTGGAGTGGGGAGAATGAGATGATCACAAAGCTTGCGTTTTCATCTTATTATAATAAAACTTTAACAATGCCAAACTCTTGCCAAATGATCACGTAAAGCAGTCAATCTCCTCTGCTCTTGGGGTCAGTGCCCCCAGGCAGACACACAGGTCCAAGTTCAGAAGGGCTGTGGGGGCACTCCCCGTCACAGCGACGTGACTGTGGGTCACAGGGAGTGCTGACAGACAGGGCGTCAGGGCACCATTAAAAAGTTGGCACATCTCTCACATTAAAGGTCTTTTCTGAAGGAATTTAACAGGAGTTAAGAGTAGAAAAGAACTGCCAATTTTACATTATGGGAAATGGGAAGGATTCAAAAGCACGGAAATCAATATATCATAGTTTCAATTGCATGTCATTATACTTTCTTCAACTCTCTGCTCCCTTCTCTGCTGGGCGGAAAGCCGGTGTTGAGACGAGGCCCGTCCTGGGACCAGCCCCCCGCCCCGGTGCTGTCAGAAGCTGTTCTATGACCTCTCACACCGTGCCCTCATGGCACTGGGGTAGGGAACAAGCTGGGTGACGCATATGAAAGATGAAGTCTCAAGGTAAGTGTCTCCATCCTCATCTCCTTCTGGTAGGCCATGGCACAAAACACCACACACCAACACTAACTTCTGTTACTCTCTGCTTACTCACTGACACAAAGACTAATCAAAGCAAAGCAAAAAGCACATAAGCCAATATAAAAAGAAATAGCCTCCTTTTTTTACCCCAACCCTCCAATTATTGCCCATTATTTCAAGAAGCAGAAGACATCTTTTTTCAGAGCCACCCGGTGGCCTCTCGAGAGGCGTCTGGAGGCCAATACTCCCCGTGGCTAGAACGGCTCTGTGAGAGTAAACATACTTATCAAATCTTGTTTTACAGAGATTTTTGTTTTAAATCTTTTTGTCAGAAGACTATCAAAATGTCAGAATTTATTAATAAGTAAACCAGAGCCTTTTGGGATAGAATTAGCACAAGGCTGGCTGCCCCAGAGTCGATTCTGAATCACAGTGGCCTCTGGACAGAAGTGCCAACACAGGGCCTCCAAGAGGGTAATCGTTAGGGATGCAGCCTGCCTTGTCCTTCTCCTACAGAGAGGCTGGTGGTTTCAAACTACCAACCTTTGGGTTAGCAGCTGAGTGTTTAAGCACTGTATCACCCAGGTTCACTGGCAGCTGATTTAAAAGCCAACCTCTGTCAGCAAGTAGGTTTTCACTTACAGTAACCCTCCACTGATTTTTTACAAACAGGTAGCAATGTGATATTTAATACTGTCAAATATAGATAGCATAACTCTTGCCAATTCTAATTTTTCACTCGTACAATTCATTGACAGCAATTATGTTATAACCAATACCTGTTGACAAATGCTCTATCACCATAAACAGAAACTGTTTCTAACAGTGACTTTCCTGTTTTCCCCCTCGCCCACACCTTTGATAACTAGTAAACTCTTAATCTCTATATATTTGACTATTCTAAGAATTTTTTATTTGTAATAACACTTGTTCTTACTTCAGTCATACTTTCAATGTTCACTAGGATGTGACCTTTATCAGAACCTCAATTCTCTTAATGGCTAAGCCACACTCCACTGTTCCATGGGGTTCTGAGGATATAAGTTGTTTCAAGAGACTGTTTCAAGTTCCCATGGAACTGCTGACAGCTTTGGACCACCGATCTTTCAGTTAGCAGCGCAA